ACTGTAGAGATCGTCGATGCGTGTGTTCATTGCCATTTGGTTAAGATTGAGTTGTTGTATACCGGCAAGCATTTGTTGTTCAAAGGGGGTGTATTGAGGAGGTTGGGGATCGGGTTGTGCCTATGCTTGTGGTTGTTCGGGACTGGGTGGTGGCTCAAGTTGAGGGATGTCATAAAGATAGTGGTCAGGAGTAGTTCCGGGTAGGCAAAGGTGTCTCCTATCCCCGAGTTGATGGTTAAAAATGTTGGGGAGTTCATCGGACAGGATTGTAAAAAGTTGTGTGGGTGAGGGATTTATGGTCCAATGGTAAAATGTTGTGGTCCCAATGGTGTGGGAGTGACTCAAATCATGTGCAGTGAGTAGAAACTAAAGATTAAGGAAATTCCAATCTTGTACTTCTCTATTCGCACAATAGCCAAATTTGGTACAAATATGATGCATGTACCCTCCTATAAAAATGTCACCCATAGCTTCATATTCCTTTTTTAGATGGTCCCACAAACATGAAGCAACTTCTAATCTAGGAGCTTCTGGAAAGATACCCATAGCAAGAATGACCAATTCACTAATCCTTGTTTGATGACTATTTGGCCTCCCAAAGACATTATACACAAACCATTTCAGTGCGATTCAAAGGGCAGGGTGTTGAACATGTGTAACATGCATATGTGAAGATTTAAAAACCCTAACCCCTATCATTCTTCGCCACAAATCATGCACAATGGTTTTATCACTTCTTGCCTTTCTTTCCTCCACACCTAAAACCGGTAAATCAAATAGCTCGGCAAATTCACGTTTCGTTAAAGTTCTTGGTATGTTGTTATAACGAAACGTGAGTTTGCTCTCATAGGTGTCCTCTATGTTTTCAGTAAATTCAACCGATGCTAGGAACTCATACATAATTCTTTTGTAGATATTATAGGACATATGGAACAATGTAGTAAGTCCTATGTTGTTGCACAATTCTAGCATCATATCATACAACATCAATGCTCGCAATGTTTCATGACAAAGAAATGAGGTTGAATGTACCTCTCGGTTGAGTTGGGTGAGGAATTTCTTGTGATGAGCCCTAGAGGTGAATTCGACGCTCTCATACATCGGAACTTGTGGAATTGGAGCACTTGAGTTGGAGGAAGATGCTCTAGTCCTTTTTGGTGTCATGGTTAATTTTTTTTCTTGGACTTGGGGGTTGGAATTTCAGACTTGGGACTTGGGGGAGTGAAAAATTTGGATTTTTTTGTTTTGGGTGTTTTTGAGGGTGTGGAGGTGTAGAGGGTGATGTGGGGATGAAGATATTGGATTTTCTTGGGATTTTCGAGCTCAAAATCGGACCTTGAGAGAAAGGGTAGGGTTTTTCGAGTTATGGGATTTGGGGATTTTTGGTGGGTGTGTTGGGTGTAGAAATGGAGAGGGTGATGTGGGGATGAAGAATGTGGTGTTAATTTGTTTTTTATGGAAGGAAAGGGGCGGATTCGAAGCTTGAAAGAGCAACAATGGAGGTTTTTCTTTGAGCTCTCAAAGTTTGGGGGAAGAAGAAGGTCGATTTGGGGCTGAAAACCCGTTTTTAATCAAATTCCGCATGAATACCCGGCCGGGTTTTGTAAATACCCGAATGGGTTTTGTGATTTCCGCAGGCAGAATGTTTTTTAGCCAAATACCCGGTCGGGTTTTTGTAATACCCGGTCGGGTATTAGGCTATTTTATTGATTTTTTCAGTTTTTTACCCGGTGGCTGTGTTGCCCGGGTATTCCAATTTTTGTGCTGTTACCCGACCGGGTGTGGGATATACCCGGGCGGATTTTCCTCCCAGATTTTTTTTTTGAAAAAAAAACAAATAAAAAAGTTAACACACACAACTGAAAATGGGAATAATTAAAATAAAAATTTGGGTTGCCTCCCAAGAAGCGCTTGATTTAATGTTGCGGCACGACGTTTTTTTTATTTTATTTTATGTTTTAAGTGGGATCGTGAGCATCCCTTGTTTCGTTTTCAAAGGCCATGTTTGGCCATGTTTAAGCTTTCTTCTTCGACCTTTTCCAGTAAGGCCGAATTTTCTTCTTCGTCACCACCTCAAATGTCGGTGGTTTTAACTCGCACTGAGGCGACTTTTCAAATTCTTCTCCTTTCAAAATAGATTTTTTTGGCTCAATTTTTATTTCATTAAAAATTGAGATTTTTTTTGTTTCCTCTGTAACAAAAATATTTAGTGTTGGTGGTGGTTCAAAAACATTTAAAGAACAAAGAGATTGATCTTTAATTTGTTTTTCAGTAGAATCAAAGATGTTGAATTCTACTTTTTGATCATCAAATTCTATTGTTAATGAACCACTAGACACATCAATTTTTGTTTTAGCGGTTTTTAAGAAGGGTCTTCCAAAAAGAATGGGTGTAGTTTGGTTATCATCTCCCATTTCCAGAACATAAAAATCAACAGGGAAAATCAAATTTTCTACTTCTACTAGCACATCTTCTACTACACCCTTCGGGTAAGTATTAGACCGATCCGCTAGTTGAATCACTACACCAGTTTGATGTAGTGGGTCGAGTTGTAAGGATTTATATAAGGAATAAGGAATGACATTTATTGATGCTCCTAAATCCAACAAGGCCTTAGAAAATAAGGTATCCCCTATTTTGCAAGGAAGAGTGAACATGCCTGCATCGCTACATTTCTCAGGGAGTTTCTTTTTAAAAATGGCCGAGACACGTTCACTAACTTCAACCTTTTGTTTCCCTTCCAGATTATTTTTCTTTTTCATTGTGCATAGTTCCTTTAAGAACTTTGCATAACGGGGAACACTTTTGATCAGTTTGAAGAGTGTGATGTTTACCTCAGAATCGGCGAAGGTTTCGTAGATGTCCCGATCATTCTTCAGCTTCCTCGTGTCTTTCAATGCCTCAGGGAATGGAGGGAGTGCTTCATATGATGACAGTGGAGGGAATTTAGTTTTCGTTGGCTCCTCCTCTTCCGGTTGAAAACCTTCTCCAAGATCAACCTCTTGTTTCTCCTCCTTATCTTCCCGTGCTTGCAATTCTTTACCGCTCCTCAACATGATTGCATTGACATGTTGTCTTGGGTTTTGCTCAGTTTGGGAAGGGAGCCTACCCGAATCTTTTGCCTCGAGTCGACTTACGACACTCGAAATTTGGCTAACTTGAGTTTCCAAATTTTGAATGCTCGACTTGGTTTCATGTTGGAATTGCATCATGGTTTGTTGGAATTGCCTCATGCTTTGCTGCATTGTTCCCATATTAACGACCAGTGCTCGAATCATGTGACGAGCACTTTGTCACGGTGCGTCAAAATAATTTCAATACTAACACTTATACGTAGTATAGCGTAGTAGAGTTTGTATCCACAGGGAAAGGAATGATTTTCTTTCTATGAAACTAGTAATTAAAAGGGGGGTTTTGGTTTTGAGTGATTTAATTCAATTAAGAAACTAAGATGAACAACCTATATGTGTTTAATTCAAAGATAAAAGGACTTGGCATTGCTACTTTCCACTTGTTGATATATTTTAGTCGATCATTGTTATATCTATAACTTATTCCCTCTCGAATACTCAATCGGGGAGTATATCCACTTCATCGAGGGTAGTTATTAACAACGACCGTTCATTAATAACCCTTACTATTAATCAAATATAGAACAACGCCGTATACTGATTTAATAGTAGCATTTAATCTTTCTAACTCCTTGATGAAATCAATTGAGATTGATAACCTTAACACAAGCGGTTTCGGTTTAACCAACAAAATTAATCCCTCTTAAGTTTATTAACCACGACCGTGCATTAATAAACCGAAGTTACTTACTTGTGAAATCATCAACGATTAACCATCGGTTCGTTGATCGTTTCTAGTAATAATTAATATATGAAACAAAACTAGTTGATCCTTTAAGTAATGTTCAAAATATTAATATGAAATAAGAGTAGGAATTAATTAATATTCAAGGAAGAATATTATTAAAGAAGATGAATCATACTATAATTAATATCAAGATGTTAACTAATTGTCATCTTAGCAACACTCCCCAATATTAATATAGAGGAAGAAAATATCATTCTAACTAATGTCGAGATGTTAACTAATTGTCATCTTAGCAACACTCCTCAACATCAATATAGAGATGGTATTAAGGAAAGAACTATTAATTAATATTCAAGAAAAGAAGTTAAGAAAATAACTCACAACTTTGATAATCAACAAGCTTCAAGAGCAACACCAAGAATGGAAGTTTAGCTCCTCATTTGGAGACTAAACATAGCTAGAAAAATATAAAGAAATGCTATTCTAAACTGAGCTAAAGAGTATGGAAGAAGGGATTCTTTTTAGAGGAGAAAAAGAGTGCTATTTATAGGTGTTTTTCAACACCTTTGGCCGGGTAGCCGACCGGGTCAAGTACTCACCCGACCGGGTGCATGTCAAAATCAAATATCCTCCACGTTCTGGCGATCTTCAGCATGTTAAAGTGTCCGGGTCAAGTCAGACCCGACCGGGTGGGGTAGGGGACCCGACCGGGTGAGTGCAAAAATTGGATTTTCTTCACGTTCGGGTGATCTTTGCACACCGGGTTGTCCCCGGTCACTTCTCACCTGACCGGGTGAGGTAGTGGGCCCGACCGGGCCATGCACTTTCTTTGCATTTTCGTTTTTCACTTCTTACCCGAACGGGTCAAGTATTATACCCGGTCGGGTATTTGCTCCTGGGCAGCCAAATCTTCTTTTTCTTCACTTCAAAGTCTTCCTTTCCAAACCATAAATCCTAACTAAACTTTACAACTGACAAAAATAGACTAAAATACAATTACAACTTGAAATCACATAAATGTTTACAAACTAAATAAAACGTCAAACAATTAACATAAATCAAACATAAAAACATGTAATTATGCACTACTAATTAGTGTGCATCAAACACCCCCACACTTAAACCTTTACTCGTCTCGAGTAAATCAAATCAAATCCAAGAAGTCCTAAATGACAAGAGTAGCAGCACCAACATCCACAATTGTTTATAACAAATACATAAAGTATCTCCAAAACAAAAAAAGAGTAAAGATGGGTCTTCAATTTTAATCCGAACTCTCAATAGTAATCGCCCTCAGGATCCTGCAAAATCAAAAGAAATAACTTTCTCTCATTCTCTCATTTTGCCTAGGTGCCCTTTCAGGTTTTCAACCCAGCTTCCCACATTTTTTTTTATTTTTTTATTTTTATTTTTTTTTAATTTTTCTCAAATCTCACAAACTCACTCTTATTTTTGCTTTATTTTTGCTTAAGCTGCCCTTTGTGGGTTTTCAACTCAACAAGCTTTCGTTTTTTTTTCTTTTTTTTTTTTGAGAAAACAAGAATAAAGAGTGTGAATGTGAACATACCGGAAAGATCTCTTTACCCCCACACTTAGGATCTGACACTGTCCCTAGTGTCCGCCTAGACCTCCACCTTGGTGTCCGTCCTCATCCATGTGATCCCCGCCATAACCACCATCGTAGCCTCCACCACCGGAGCTCGATCCTCCAAAGAAATCCCACTGAGAGGGGTCATACCATGATGGTGCAGGAGGTGGAGTGGTCATAGAGGAAAAAGAGCCCTGGTGTGCTATATATGAGTATATCGGACCAAAGGTTCTACACTGATCCTCCTCAGATCTCCGTCTGTCTTCCTCATACCTACGCCAGTCTGCTTGCCGCTGCTCTTCCATCCTCACAATGCTCTGGTTGAGCGTGGCCATGTTATCGAGCATTTGTTGCTCGAAAGGTGTGTAGTGGAATGCTTGAGGTTGTGGTTGTTCGGGTATGATTGGGGGGGTTCTTCATCATCTTCATCGTGGATGGGTTCTTCATAATGATCCGGGATTGCCCCGGGAAGACAATAGTGATGACCATCCCCGATTTGGTGATTGATGATATCCAGGGGGACGTCGGCTGAGGGTATCTGGAGGTAGATGGAAGTGCGTGGGAGAATGCGCCAATTATAGATGTGTTCCCCAGTTGGTGTTGTGTGCGAGGGGACCAAGTCTAGCGTCTTTTGTAAAAGCCATTCAGTGCAAATAAGGTGTCTTGAGGTGATGGGGCCGGGGTCTATAAAACCATATAAAGTGGCTAGATGTGTGAGGAGGCCCCCCATAGTAATTGGTCCTGTTGATGTTGCCACGTTGTTGAAATGAGTCCATAAGATGGTGGCAACATCAACTTGATTTGGACCCGGCAAAACAGCTTGTGCTAGAACACACACATCCCAGATACGTGTGTGATGATTATTCGGTCTTCCGAGGAAACAATTTGAGCAAAATTTTAAGAATAGTCGGAAGACCGGATGTTGCACACGATTCACACTTAATTTAGATAGATCAACCACATTCTTGCCGGTCATTCTTCTCCACAATTCATACCCCACAAGAGAATCATATGTATGTGCTTCATCAAACCATGGGAGACCAAAATGTTGAACAAATTCTCGTTTGGTTAATGAACGATCCTCATTTAGTAAACGAAAGGTGATTATGTCATTTGCATGATCATTCACATCTTTGGTATACGCAAATGAGCTAAAAAATTCATACACCAAATGAGGATATGTCACATATTGCATTTCAAACATTCTAGATATTCCAATTCTTGCAAATATGTCACGCATCACAGTATCAATCCATAGTAGCGCTAAACTAGTTAAGCACATAAAACGGGATTGCTTTACCTCCCTTTTTGATTGGTTGATGAAGTTGTTCTGTGAGCCTCCGTAGCAAACTCCACGCTCTCATAGCCCGCTACCGGTGGGATAGCTCGATTTCCCCTTGAGGAAGAGGCTTTTGACTTTCTTGGAGCCATTGAAGTTCCAAAAAAAAAAATTGGATTTTTTTTGTGATTTTCGGACTTTGGGGTAGGGTGGGATTTGGATGGCTTTTATGGGTATGGGGTTGAAGAGGATGGTGAGGAGAGTAAGAATATGGTATTGGTTGAAGATTTTTGGGGAGATTTCGGACCTTGAATGTCCAAGAATGGGGATTTCGAATTTTGGGTAGGGTTTTTTTTGGGTTTTGTTGATTGGGAAGGTTTTGGGGGATTTTATGGGTATAGAGATGGAGAGGGAAGTGAGGAGATGAAGAAAATGGGGTTTTTTAGTGGATTTGGTTAAGGAAATGGGGAGATTCGAAGGTTTGGGTGTTTGAAAATGGTGGATTTTGGGAATTTTGGAGTTGGGAGGAAGAAGAAGTGGGAGGGGAAGGGGTGAGCCCGACCTGGTAAAGTGCTGATTTCCCGTTCACCCGGTCGGGTGGGGTAGTTTACCCGGTCGGGTGAACGCTATTTGCCCAGGCAGAAAGTTTTGAGTTCGGTAGCCCGGCCGGGTGAAGTGGTGTACCCGGTCGGGTGTAACTTGTTCTGTTATCCAGTACCTACTGGAATGAGTACCCGGTCGGGTGCTTTAGGGTACCCGGTCGGGTCTTTCTGATTTTAAAAAAAATAAATTCGTACCCGCCCGAGTTTCAGAAATACCCGAATGGGTATGCATTCCAGTGTGTTCAGAGCCAAAAATATGTGCATACCCGGTCGGGTTTTGGATATACCCGGTCGGGTATATGTTTTTTTTTCTTTTTTTTGTTAGCAACCCGGTGGCCGTGTTGCCCGGGTATCCCCTTTTTATGAATACACCCGACCGGGCTGTTTGGGATACCCGGCCGGGTTTCAGCCCAGGCTCATTTTTTTTTTTTTGAAAAATTAAAACACACGAACTGAGGAAAAAAAAATGAAATTAAAAATAAAGGCTTGGGTTGCCTCCCAAGAAGCGCTTGATTTAATGTCGCGGCACGACGTTATTTTTATTTTATTTTTTTATTTTTACGTGGGATCGTGAACATCCTTTGTTTCATTTTTCCTTTTCGGCCTTCTCCAGTAAGGCCGGGATTTCTTTTCTGGTATCACTTCAATCCCAGGTGGGATCCATTCTCTTTTTGAAAATTTGAATAATTCTTCTTTTTCAAAAAGTTTGATGTTCTCATTTTTCTTCTCAACAAAAATATTCGGGGTTTGTGGTTCACAAACATTTAGAGCACAAAGAGATTGGTCTTGAATTTGTTTTTTCGTAGAATCAAAAATGTTGAATTCTACCTTTTGATCATCAAACTCTAAAGTTAATGAACCATTAGCCACGTCTATTTTTGTTTTTGCGGTTTTCAGAAAAGGCCTACCCAAGAGGATGGGTGTAGTTTGGTTATCATCTCCCATTTCCAAAACATAAAAATCAACACGGAAAATCAAATTTTCTACTTCTACTAGCTCATCTTCTACTACACCCTTCGGGTAAGTATTAGACCGATCCGCTAGTTGAATCACTACACCGGTTTGATGTAGTGGGCCGAGTTGTAAGGATTTATATAAGGAATAAGGAATGACATTTATTGACGCTCCTAAATCCAACAAGGCCTTAGAAAATAAGGTATCCCCTATTTTGCAAGGAATAGTGAACATGCCTGGATCGCTACATTTCTCAGCGAGTTTCTTTTTAAAAATGGCCGAGACACGTTCACTCACTTCAACTTTTTGTTTCCCTTCCAGTTTATTTTTCTTTTTCATTGTGCATAGTTCCTTTAAGAACTTTGCATAACGGGGAACACTTTTGATCAGTTTGAAGAGTGGGATGTTTACCTCAGAATTGACGAATGTTTCGTAGATGTCCCGATCATTCTTCAGCTTCCTCGTGTCTTTCAATGCCTCAGGGAATGGAGGGAGTGGTTCATATGATGACAGTGGAGGGAATTTAGTCTTCGTTGGCTTCTCCTCTTCTTGTTGGAAGTCTTCTTCAAGATCAGCCTCTTGCTTCTCCTCCTCAACTTCCCGTGGTTGCAATTCTTTACTGTTCCTCAACATGATTGCATTGACATGTTGTCTCGGGTTTTGCTCAGTTTGGGAGGGGAGCCTACCCGAATCTTTTGCTTCAAGTCGACTTACGGCATTTGAAATTTGGCTAACTTGAGTTTCCAAATTTTGAATGCTCGACTTGGTTTCATGTTGGAATTGCATCATTGTTTGTTGGAATTGCCCCATGCTTTGCTGCATTGTTCCCATATTAACGGCCAGCGCTCGAATCATGTCTTCGGTGGACATACTCGAGTTCGATGTCTGGCCTTGGGGTTTGTATTGTTGAGGGGGAGGATTTGTTTTAGAATTTCCGTACCTTAAATTCGAATGATCCCTCCATCCCGGGTTGTAAGTATTTCCTTGAGGATCGTACCTCCTTTGACCTTGGAAACCCAAAGCATTGACTTTCTCGGAGTTCTCTTCTTGTAGTGTCGGGCAAGAATCTGTGGGATGCCCTTGCGTTGAACAGATGCCGCAGACCTTGACTTCTTGGGTTTTTGGATTTAAAAGGAAATCTTTAACCAAAGAAGTCAAGCCGGCTACTTGACTTTCCAACGAATTGTTGGATTCCGCTGCCATGACTCGTCTCGATGATGACCTTCCGTTGTAATGTCTCGAGTTTTCGGCCAACTCCGAAATGAGGTCTCTTGCTTGAGAAGGGGTTTTGTTGACAATACCCCCTCCGCATGCCGCATTCACCATGCGTCTATCTTGATCAACAAGTCCATCATAGAAGTAGAGGATGAGATCTTGTTCTGAATATCCATGATATGGGCAACTAGCACATAATTTTTTAAAGCGCTCCCAATATTCATACAAGGTCTCATTATCTGCTTGCTCAATGTTGCTGATTTGCTTCTTGAGACTTGAAGAGATAGATGTGGGATAGTACCTGTCAAGGAAGCTCTTCTTCATTTGAGCCCATGTATTGATGCTCCCCGAGGGAAGATAAAATAACCAATCTTTGGCGGTGTCTTTGAGAGAGAATGGGAAGGCTCTCAGCTTGATTTGCTCCTCGGACACGCCATTAGGGCACATGCTTGTGCACACAATATGGAACTCTGACAGGTGTTTATTTGGATCTTCCCCTCGTAAGCCATGGAAAGAGGGAAGTAGATGAATGAGCCCAGATTTTAGCTCGAATGTGACCCCCGTATCCAGAGTTGGAAAAGTGATACATAAGGGTTGTTGATTTAGATTCGGAGCCGTGAGCTCCCTCAACGTTTTGTCTCCAGAGCCATGTGGAAGGACTCTTCGGATTCGCTAGAATGAGAACTAGCACTTGATGATTCCTCCGAAGAAGTATTCGGAAATAGATTCCTGAACCTCTCGAAGGCTTGTTCTGTTTCGGGCTTTGTTTGGTAGGTGATTTGGTTTATAGATCGGTGTTTAACCATATACTCAAACAAAGCTCAGCCAAAATAGAAATCTTTATATATAATTTTTTTTTTGATTTTTCTTTGAAATAAAATAAAAAGAAAAATTAATTGCCTTTCCCCGGCAACGGCGCCAAATTTGACGAGCACTTTGTCACGGTGCGTCAAAATAATTTCAATACTAACACTTATACGTAGTATAGCGTAGTAGAGTTCGTATCCACAGGGAAAGGAATGATTTTCTTTCTATGAAACTAGTAATTAAAAGGGGGGTTTTGGTTTTGAGTGATTTAATTCAATTAAGAAACTAAGATGAACAACCTATATGTGTTTAATTCAAAGATAAAAGGACTTGGCATTGCTACTTTCCACTTGTTGATATATTTTAGTCGATCATTGTTATATCTATAACTTATTCCCTCTCGAATACTCAATCGGGGAGTATATCCACGTCATCGAGGGTAGTTATTAACAACGACCGTTCATTAATAACCCTTACTATTAATCAAATATAGAACAACGCCGTATACCGATTTAATAGTAGCATTTAATCTTTCTAACTCCTTGATGAAATCAATTGAGATTGATAACCTTAACACAAGCGGTTTCGGTTTAACCAACAAAATTAATCCCTCTTAAGTTTATTAACCACGACCGTGCATTAATAAACCGAAGTTACTTACTTGTGAAACCATCAACGATTAACCATCGGTTCGTTGATCGTTTCTAGTAATAATTAATATATGAAACAAAACTAGTTGATCCTTTAAGTAATGTTCAAAATATTAATATGAAATAAGAGTAGGAATTAATTAATATTCAAGGAAGAATATTATTAAAGAAGATGAATCCTACTATAATTAATATCAAGATGTTAACTAATTGTCATCTTAGCAACACTCCCCAATATTAATATAGAGGAAGAAAATATCATTCTAACTAATGTCGAGATGTTAACTAATTGTCATCTTAGCAACACTCCTCAACATCAATATAGAGATGGTATTAAGGAAAGAACTATTAATTAATATTCAAGGAAAGAAGTTAAGAAAATAACTCACAACTTTGATAATCAACAAGCTTCAAGAGCAACACCAAGAATGGAAGTTTAGCTCCTCATTTGGAGACTAAACATAGCTAGAAAAATATAAAGAAATGCTATTCTAAACTGAGCTAAAGAGTATGGAAGAAGGGATTCTTTTTAGAGGAGAAAAAGAGTGCTATTTATAGGTGTTTTTCAACACCTTTGGCCGGGTACCCGACCGGGTCAAGTTCTCACCCGACCGGGTGCATGTCAAAATCAAATATCCTCCACGTTCTGGCGATCTTCAGCATGTTAAAGTGTCTGGGTCAAGTCAGACCCGACCGGGTGGGGTAGGGGACCCGACCGGGTGAGTGCAAAAATTGGATTTTCTTCACGTTCGGGTGATCTTTGCACACCGGGTTGTCCCCGGTCACTTCTCACCCGACCGGGTGAGGTAGTGGGCCCGACCGGGCCATGCACTTTCTTTGCATTTTCGTTTTTCACTTCTTACCCGACCGGGTCAAGTATTATACTCGGTCGGGTATTTGCTCCTGGACAGCCAAATCTTCTTTTTCTTCACTTCAAAGTCTTCCTTTCCAAACCATAAATCCTAACTAAACTTTACAACTGACAAAAATAGACTAAAATACAATTACAACTTGAAATCACATAAATGTTTACAAACTAAATAAAACGTCAAACAATTAACATAAATCAAACATAAAAACATGTAATTATGCACTACTAATTAGTGTGCATCATCATGTCTTCGGTGGACATACTCGAGTTCGATGGTTGACCTTGTTTTTTATATTGTTGAGGAGGAGGATTTGTTTGAGAATTTCCGTACCTTAAATTCGGATGATCCCTCCATCCCGGGTTGAAAGTATTGTCTTGAGGATCGTA